TTTTTGTAGACATTCATGTAGTAAAAAAAATTTCCATCATCTAAACAAAACTATTGTCTTTAGTTTTATATTTGGTTTCTTTTTAACTCACATATTTATCAAACTAAAAAGATGCATAGCAACTTTTATTATCTTCTCTAAAAAAAAAAAAGCATATAAACATAAATAAACTTATCATCCTAAAATGTACATCTAATAATTTATTAAACTTGTTATAACAGTTAATAATAATAATTTATAGCTTTTATATAGCACTACTTTCATTCTTATAGCATGCTCAGAGCGCTATGGTCCAACCTCATTTGTGGACCAGTGGGGGGTGAAAGTATCTGGGAGATTTTTTGTGCTGCCTTTAGGCACTCAGTAAACACAAATCTGCTCAAGTCGGGTGTCAAGCCTCAAGCCCCCTTCATAGGTAGCCAAGCCAAGTTGAAGCGTACTTAGCCTTTCGACCATGCTTCCCATATAATAAATATAAATTATAAGGCTTGTCTATTAAGTCTGAATATTAAGAATTGCGGTTTTCATGCAACTGCTTGGACACTTGCCAATTTAAGTTCTCATTTTGCTAAGTTTGCTAGAATTCTGAAATCAGAATTGCTCACATAAGCTTATCAATAAATACGAAATTATTTCTGATACTTTTTTAAAATTCATATTATACACAAAATTAAATTTGAAAGTTAATAAATTTTCATTTGTTATCTTTTAAAATTATTTAATAAATATTAGATTTTTATCGGGAATACAGTTGAATTGATTTTTTATTTTATTCTAATATTTTTAAAAATCAGGACTATAAATATGAAATTTACGCAGACTATTTAATGACAAAGTGCTAGGTTTCCAACCTAGGATTCAAACCCCAGTGAAGACTGGGGGTTTTAATTCCAGGATTTTCAGGATGTCCCTGAGTCCACCCAACGCTATGGGGTACCTGACATTAGTTAGGGAAAATTAATGTAGTTATTCATTGTGCTGGTCAAATGACACCCTTGCTAACCATCACCCTAAGAAACAAATGAGCTTTACATTATCTACCACATAGGTAAATATAAGACTAAAAAAATGTCTGAATTTTGTCAAAAAAAAAGGTTGATATTAAGACTAGACAAAATTAAAATTTGATTTTTCAGTCAACTGTGATGTGTATTTTTTAAATTCATTAGTTTTTTTGTATTGTATTGTAAATTATAGAACAGGCTACAAATTAATATTTTTTTAACAGTTTCATGTACTTTTTCATTGATGAAGGCAATTATTCATTGTTAAAAAAACATTTATCTTTTCAGGCACATATTGAGTCAAGTGATGAATCAAGTGATGAAGCAAGTGATGAATCAGAAGATGATTCTGATTGATGCTGGTAAAAGTTTGTTTTACATGTTTTGGTACAGAAAATACTAAATCCTACTCCGAACCTCTCAAAGAGCTACGGGGGATGGTGTGCATGGTTCAAGCCATGAACCCTTGAGATCACAGTACAAAAATCCAAGCACCCTTTTCTACAGAGGGGAAAACCTCTTTAGCAAAGCGAAATTCAGTGAAGATATTATCCAATTAACTGAGTAGCTTCTTTATGTGGTGGATGTTTGTTTCCTTTCATTTTTGAAGTAAATGATTTTAAGTTTCTTTAAAAAAATCTGCTGTTTGCTGCTAAAAGTGCTTTTTGTGGGCCTGTTTTAGAGTAGCTTGGGCATTGTGCACACTTGTGGATGATTTTTCTTTTTGTCCATTTTCATTCTATAGATTACATTTGTGAGCAGCTTTTTCTATTCAATTTTTATAAAAGATATTATAAATCTATATGTATATATCACTGTTAATGTTTCTGAAAAGATCATGAGAATGTACACAACGAGTCTAGAGTAATTATATTTTTATTCATGCAATCGACCTTATTATTTTGCTGTTGATAATAATCTCCATTAATGGGAAAGTTAAGAGGTTTTGCTGTTGCCAAAATCTTGCATTACAATTTCTTCCAGTGAAGAAAGTTTCAACCAACTTGTGATTTTAAACTGCGGATTCATTTTCCACACTGGTGAATGTAATAGCATGGCCTTTGTTATCAGCACAATTGAAATTATTTTAGTGATAACAAAAACATTGACACTATCGACAGTAATATGATGAGACGATCATAACGCTTCATTATTAGGCCATGTTCACAGAAGGGAAGTTTATGTGTTAAATGTAAATATTTTTTTTGAAAACCATGGTTTATGTCAGAAACATGAAGGGAAGTTTATGTGTTAAATGTAAATATTTTTTTTGAAAACCATTGTTTATGTCAGAAACATGAAGGGAAGTTTATGTGTTAAATGTAAATTTTTTTTTTTTGAAAACCATTGTTTATGTCAGAAACATGATATGTTTAAGTCGCAGGTAATTATTAAAAAGAGGAACTATTGACACTCAGTTATACCAGTTTTGGTGGTGATAGAAGCAGTGTGATAGAATGATTGGCTGTGAAAATAGAAAGTCCTATTTGGGATACCTTGATAGATATGATTCTTTTGCTTTCAATATGTTATGCTGGTCTGTGTTTATATAAACTTATATTGAATTAATATTATAATCTGATATCTCAGATTGTGTGAGATATGTCATCCATGTAGACAAGTTTAATTCAGACATCACACAATTGCATCTCATAGGATATTTGCAGCTCTCTCATAAAATATTACCTCAAGGTTAATCTTTTTGGAGTATGTTGTTAATTCTAAGCTTTGCAAAAGAACAGGTTTGAAACCCTTCCATTTGTTCAAATGGTCATTATGGGACAAGAGCCTGTTATAGGATAATAGCTAACATGAAGGCCACCTTTTGTAGTGATTTAGTAGAACAGAACTATATATGTTTATGCTATTACAAAAAAAAAAAAGAAAGAAATTTTAATTGGTACACAACTAACCAAAGAAGACAATTTAAAATAAGCTTTAAATTTCCTTTTGGTCAAATACTTACATGTTGACATGTTGTTAGTAATATGTATATTTCATGTTAAATGATATCAAGCCAAGTCTTAAAATTGGTTTTCCACTTCTTTGTTGAATAGGATTGTAGCTAATTCATATCTGTCCATTTTTATTTTTATTAATTTAGTGAAAGAAGAATAATTTAAATACATTAACAAATGATTTTTAAATAATCAATTGGATCAAAGCTTAAATTCAATTTGTTACTGTGTGTTGAATTGTGATAGTCTGTAGAATTTTTTTATTTTAATTAATGCCATGATTTTCCTCTCCTGACTTTTGAAACCCAAAAACTAAACAATTGCTTTCATTTTTTAAGTTTATAAACTAAAGAAACATTTTTTTCCCCATTACTTTTACTCCCATTTAATATAAATAGTATTAGTATTAAAGCAATCTTTGTGCAATATCATTTGAGGAACTCAATTGCTTTTTGATGTTTTCACAGAATAGAAAAGAAATTCGCCATTGATGTACTTTAAATAGTCATGTAAAAACATTTCAGGATGGACAGTATGGCAGGAAAAATTAGAACTCATTTTTGAGCTTAAGTTTGTAAACCCCTTTTATTGTTGTCTCTGTTAGTTGGTTCTTGTTTATGCTGTAAATAAATACTACTTTTTTTCCCCTTATGTAACATCCTTTATTTTAGGACTTGACAGCACTGCCGTATTATTATTTAACTTATTATTGGTATGTTAAATGTTGAAGAACAAAAAGCCATGTAACTTAGAAGCTTTCATCTGCAAGCCAATGATGTATTGATTTTTTTTAAAGGAATAAAACAATTTTTTTTATTTAAAACAAGTCCTGGTCTTTTGTCAGATATGAATTATCCTCATAGTGGCGCCCGGGTGGAAATGATCAGGGGGGTGCAAAAGCATCCTCGCCATTCCTCAAGGGGCTCTTACATAAATGGCCTGTCCTGCACAATTAGGTAGAGAAAAGGAAAATGGCAGAGTCCTGGTGTACGCAGTCTGACCCCCGCCATTGTACACCATCCTCATACAGGCCGTTTAGAGGGAGCTCTTGTTCACTTTTGCTGGCCTAGAGCTCAGTTGACAGTGTCAAGAAGATATGAAATATCAATATTGGAGCCATAAGCAAACCTTTTTTAGAACAGAAAACAAAAGGTCTTGGTATAATACAAAGCAATCATGAACTAGTATCTATGCATTAATTGTTTAATGATGTGGCAGGAAAACAGAGTAGAGTGAAACAAATATTTGTATATTCTATTTAATCCATAAATATTTCTATTGACAAATAATTCTATATAAGATTCCTTTTTATTAAAGATAATTCTACATTTCATCTTACTGATAAATAATTTCATAATTCTATATTCACAAATAATTCTATATATTCCATCTTGTTAAGAAGAGAAAAAACAAAAAATGCTTCTGGCCACAAAACCATTGAACTAATCCCAAGGAGTAATATGGACTTTCTCCATTACACAACAATGCTGAGATTTTAAAAATCATTACATGTAGAGAGAAACTCTAGTTGTGTTATTTTACTGATAAATAAGAAGACAGCAAAGAAAAAAAAAAGGCTAGACTGTATTCCCTTCGATCAGAAATTTTAACATGTGAAATAGTCAAATGCAAGGAGACTTCATCTAAAAAATAACTGCAAACCAAGACTCTTACTTTCTTTAACTCGTAATGGCCCTACAATGAATTTGTAATCACTATTTTTTAATGCAAGAATTGTACAAATATTGCATGTTGGGGGAGAGGTATTTATTTCTCCAATCAATCATGGAAAGAATACAATTTAAATGCCATTTCAGTCAAATTTTCATAAACAATAAAAACTACTATAATAACTCTGTAACTGTAAAACAAACAAAACATGTTTTCATTTTTACCCATACAGCGATTCAAGTTAAGTAAGTCACGAGCAACAATGCTATTAAGCTGACATAAAAAAGACATGAAATTTAATAATAAACATTTTGCTGGGTTTTGTAGCAAATAATTTACTACTGAGCTAAACAGGTAATTTAATATTTAGTATTAAAAAGCAATCTTTGTACAATATCATTTGAGGAACTGGCATTTGAGCCTTTAAGCTAAAAAAAAATAATATTTTGCTCAATAGTCATAATCTAGGATGCTATGGCAAATGGCTAGCTGTCTTTGCTAATTTAAGCTGAAGTAGACGCTATTAGGAGTTTAAAAGTCATCAGGAAAATCCTTAGTAAAACAAAAACAACAAAAACACAAACAAAAACAACACAAACAAAAACAACAAAACACAAACAAAAACAACACAAACAAAAACAACAAAAACACAAACAAAAACAACACAAACAAAAACAACAAAAATACAAACAAAAACAACAAAAACAAACAAAAACAACACAAACAAAAACAACAAAAACACAAACAAAAACAACAAAAACAACACAAACAAAAACAACAAAAACACAAACAAAAACAACAAAAACAACACAAACAAAAACAACACAAACAAAAACAACAAAAACAAAAACAACAAAAACACAAACAAAAACAACAAAAACAAAAACAACACAAACAAAAACAACAAAAAGTTAAGTGACTTAAAAACAACAGTTGCACTGGAGACTGAGTAGAGAATGCAAACTATTCGTAGTAGTTCTTGGACTTTTAAAATCTAGCCATGTTGGACATTGTCCCCACTTTATTGGAATGAATTATCCATCATGTAGTCAACTCATTTTATTTGGCTTAATGAGAATGTGTAGTAAGTTATTTATTAACTTAGCTATTTATCACAAACACTTTAAAATACTAATCAACTAAAGGCTAATCCTCAACACCACAAGTAACAAAGACAAAACTGTGACCCAAACTAAAATCCCCTTGTGTTCATCCTAAGCCATTGCTCTAAGCAAGCAAAGATGCTAGTATCAGGAGTTATTTCTCATCCTGTATTTTTCTTTGGCATCAGTGTCACATCACACACTGTTTTATCAGTATTAACATATTCAAAAGTTTGACATCCAAGGATTCCTGTCAACTCAACATGGCACCTGGGTGTAAACGTTTGTTAGTGAATCAGATAGGCAAAGGTTGGGTTGCCTTGGTAGAGTTCCAAGGTGTAAATGAAGAGGACCATTAACTCAGTTCAAAAGCTCTGACATGTTGCATATGGGGCTGCCATCAGTGTCCCATTAGCTGGGGTGGTTGTCTTTTCACAGTTCAAGGTGGTCACAGTTGTGGCACTTACTTCAGGTCAGGAGAGGAAATCTGCATTACATAAATGACAACCCAATTGCAGTAATGTTCGATGCCATTATGGAAATTTCACAGAACTTTGGATTAAGCGTTCCTGGTCAAGGGCTGGCTTTTTTTCAAGGTTCAAGAAGTTTTGTCTTTTCTTTTTATCAGTATGACGAGCATCTTGGTGAGCCTTTAATTTGGAATTGGATCTAAATTTTTTGCCACACACATCACATGTATATTTCCTCTCACCGACATGAGAAACTAAATGTTTCTTATAAACTCTGAAAGTGGCAAACTTCTTGGGGCAAAACTTGCAAGCTATTTGTTTATCCTTGACATGGACATCAAGATGATCTCTCAGACTAGACTTGTAAATGTAATTTCTATTACAAAGTTCACATTTGTACGCCACACTGGAATGATGATTGAGATGATTCTTTAACAAATCATCCTCTGGGAAGCATTTCAAACATAGATGACACTTGAATGACTTCTCTGCCAAATGAATAGCCTGATGAGTCTTCAAATATGAAGCCTCTGAAAATTCTTCAAAGCAGACTTTGCATTTAAATGGTTTTTCAACCAAATGCAATGCTTGGTGAGCCTTCAGGCTTGATGCCCTGGTGAAATGCTTAAAACATATTTGACAACCAAATGGTTTTATACCAGTATGAATAACCTGGTGGTCATGTAAGTTTGACTTCTTTGCAAATTTTTTCTTACATAGATTACATTTAAAACGTTTTTTTTTAATATCAACCTTCAAAGTCTGGTGTTTTTTCAATTTATTTGCTTTGGAATGCTTTTTCTTATGTGCTCTGAACCTGTTATCTGAATAGGTTTTCAAATCTTCAGGAGAAAGAAGAAATTGGTTTTCTGTTTGAAAAGACAGATAGTTTGTTGGTTTTGAGTATTTATCAGAATTTGCTATTTGGAAGACAACCTGAATCATTCCATCGATGTCATCATCATAATCGTCATGTTCTTTCGCATTGGTTTTATTTTGTTCACTAGTACTCTTGACACTAGTTGAATTACCTTGAAATTTATCCACTTCTTTTTCTTGCTTAAAGCTACTTGCCTATATAAAAAAAAAACAAGCAAAATATTTTTAAAATAGTAAAAAAAAAAAATTAAACTTATATTAATAAGGCTTATTTGAAGGAAAGAACTGCACATTTAAGACCTCATTTTTCTCAATACTGTAAAATTTATTTCCTTTTTCTTTAAAAGCTAAAATGATTTATTACTACTAATTAATTAATTAATTGGTTACTTCTTCTTTTGATTAATATTTTATTAGGAGCAATGAATAATTGTACAAAAAAGTTTCAAAAAGTGGGAGAAATGATTTGTGCCTGACAGACAGAGGAAGTGAGTTGATGTAAGCCATTTAAAAAAAATATAGACAAGTTTTGCTTTAATAGTAACATTAATCACATTTCTTTTATCAATGTAAAGAAAACAAAGGATAACTAAATATTTGTCAGTTAAGTTGCTCCAATGAATAGTTGAAAGAGAACATTTTTACAAATCCAAAACAATTCTGTATTTAAAAAAAAAAATGATTGTGTATGTTTGAAATTCATCTTTACTACATCATTGTGTATGTTTGAAATTCATCTTTACTTTTGTAATGTTCCACTTGAAGACTATTAAAAATTAAAAAAATATTCAGTGACTATTTTCTACAAAAAGACCTTTTTTCTATAGTTGAATACACTACTAAAACAAATATCTTGGTATCTCAGAAAAATTCCATATATGACAAATTCATTTTTAATTTTTAGTTGTTAATTAATTTTCAGACTAATATTGTCTAAGAATTTACATTTTTACCCCAAATTAATTTTTTTTTCCTCAGCATTGAAATTATATTCATGAATATTTACAATACTAACTAAAAACTTACACTAATCGGACCTCCCTCAACAGATAGTTCATTATAGACTTCTCGTGGGAGATATTCCGCCGATTCTGATGACCATAAATGCTCTACCACTTCCTTTTTTATGTTGAATCGTAGTTCTTCAATGAAGTCTTCCTTAAGAGGGTTCATAATATGCCACCTGTGACAAAAGAAATAATGTGATTTGCACATAGGTTTTTATAGGATCTATGATAAGCATAGTAAAAAAAAATTAGCTTCTGCTTTTGTTTTTTTCATCTTACACTAGAAGCAGTTTGACTCTGCAACGATGCTCCCATTGTTGATTTTAATTTTTTTTCTTTTTTTTTCTCCCGTATATGTTTTTAATTGCTTAAAATATTATCTTGAATAGTTTCCCTTTGCTAAACATCCGGAATTTCCTTCTTTCAATGTGTTTTTACAGTGAAAGATTTTTTAAAAGAGTGGGGTCTTAAAAAGGCTCTATTTTCTTTAGATTTATGTTCTGAATGATGGTGATAGATGAGCTCAGATCATTCATTTTTTGTGTTTTTACATGGTTTTAATATAAATTTATGTGGAAATATGAATAAATAAATAGTAAATAATCATTTTTTTCTACTTTAGATCATAATATATTTCCTAGATCTAGTCTAGACCCAGAGTTGCTGACATGCCAAGGGTGTCAGTTTTCATTTTTCCAATAGTAGTGACATGGATAATTAGCTCAAAATTTCCATTTTATGTGTTTTATATGTGTTTAATAAAAAACAAAAAAGTTATAAATGTTTAATCGAAACATTCTTTTTACTTCGATTGGCTGAAAAAAATAATTCTGTCCAAACGTGGAAAATAATTTTGGAGTCAAAGAATTAACCAGGCTTGATATCCCAGCTATCCAAACAATTTTTTTTTCTGATTCATCGATATTCAATCAGAACTAATGTATCTAGAGGTAATATTTATAAAGACTTTTTATAATCCGGACATAAAGTTCATTGGTCAGTTTTTTCAGTTACAGTTTTTATTTTTTGCTTTACAAAGGCTAATTTTTTATGACGAAAATTGTAATAACTTCTCTCACAATTAACACGGCATCATTGGAAAACATTTCTCAAACTCTATCTTACTAAGTAGGTTACATTGCATATAAATGATCATTCAGAATTTTTTTATCGAGGTACCTAGTTCTAGAATACTCTACATCTAGGCTCGATTTGCGACACTAAAATTATCATTTAACTCTAAACCTCAGTTCTAACTAGCTTTAAAATATATTAATTTAAATAAAGTACTAGCTGCATCATGACTAGTGGCCCACTGGCAGTTTGTGTATATATTCAAGTGTATTGGATTGAGACCTGTGTGAAACATGATGAGATGTTTCCTTAAAACTTCACACAAAAATGAAAGTAGACTATTCAATACGGCTATGAAAATGGAGTTTACCCATTTAGCTGCTATATTCAAATGGTATTCAAATACTTAGATCTACATACTATTTACATTTATAAATGCTTTAAGATCTAGATGAGATATATCTATTAGATCAATAAACTACTTTCAAAAAGCTCTCAGAATATATATAACTAACTATCTACCTCAGATATTCTACTAATTCTAGACTCCAAATTCTAAATCTAATTAGTAAAGAGTAAAAAATCTAGATTTCTAGTTGGTTCTAAAACTAACTTCGTCATTTTAAAAGTACTAAGTAGATCTCTATAGATACTCTATTATATATATACATATTTATAGATCTAGAATTTTCTAAATAGAGTAATAGAGTTTTAGATCTAAGATTGAAGTAAGATATAGATTTATTAATGAATCAATCTGCATCAATAATTAGGGCACCAAGAAGAGACAGAAGAGAGAAGGAAGGAGAGCAGGGTTGTGTCTACCTACCTCCCAGAGTATTAAACTATGAACACAAGTGTAATTTTAAAGGCTATGACAATGTCATGTAGATCTAGATCTATGTGTTTCAGGGCCTGCCTATTACTACTGTTTAGATTCAGAAGGGGAAGGATTTTAGATAGATCTATAAATTCTATATTATATAATAATATATTGATATATATATTATAACGGTAATCATTCAACGGTTGGGTCCCTGGCCAGTGAGGTCAA